GTAGGGACTTATTTCTTCTCAGGGAGCTAATGAGCTCCCGGAGGATAGCACGGGTGTCTCCTCCATCAGAATGGAAATGCCTTCAGGCCAGTTGTTTTGTTTGTTTTGGCCACTGCCTGGCATGCAGGATCCTAGTTCCCTGACCAGGGATCAAACCCTTGCCCCCTGCAGTGGAAGTGCAGCATCTTAACCACTGGACCACCAGGGAAGTCCTGGGCCAGGGCATCTTAACAGGGACCGTCCTAGGGGTACTGGCTGGGTCTCACCCATCAGCCAAGGACTCCACAGGGCAGAGGCTGAGTCTCTGCCTTTCGATAGGGGGTCCCTGTTACCTCTGTATCAGATTGGGTTCACCTTATATGAACAGCCCCTACAATGCTCTGCCCAGGCCTATGATGCCCGGGACATCAGTCACATGAGCCACCCAGAGGACACCCTTGTGAGGCAACTGCCCGGGCCTGCCCTCACTTCCCTACTCCCTCTTCCTCCCCATCCAAACTTAGGGGCTACTCCTTGCTCAGGTGCTAGGAGTATTAATAGCGTTCATAGTATTAATGATACTACCAATAATGCCCATATCTTTAATACTAAGAGTTAATAATGCTAGTGATCAATCCTAGTAATTCATCACGTTAGCTATAGAGACTATATGGGACTCAGGTGGACATTCCTATCTGCGGGAAATTTCAGCCCTGGGAGATAGAAGCGTCAGGGGCAGAGAGGTTCTGGGCAGGGAGTGGGTGTTTCTGGGCCTGACCACGGTTGGGGGGCATTCCCGGGGGAGCATTCCCAGGGGGCAGCAGCTTACCCTGTGAGCAGTCCTTGCCAATCCATCCAGGGAAGCACTGACAGGAGCCATCGATGGGGCTGCAGGTCCCGTTGTTGGCACAGGAGCAGAGCTGGGCACAGTCTTGCCCAAAGTGCCCTCCAGCACACACTGTGGGCACAGGACAGCCTGGCACCTGCCCTCCCACTTGTACTCCTCAGACCACCACCCACAGCTACACCCCCAGAAGTTCCCAGGCCACAGCCATGGCCACCTGGGGTCACGGATCTGAGTGGGAAATGCCCACCTCAGCACCCCCATCACCCTTCTCCATTTCCACATCAATGAGTTCCCCCTCTTGTGTCCACAGCTGCATTCTTCAGGAGCCTCTAGTAATGATTCCCTCTGACAGGAACGAACTGAGGCCCATAGGGGTAGAATCACTTGACTTAGGTCTCACAGACAGAAGTGGTGAGGCTGGGAATCCCACCTCTGCACTCAGTCCAGTGGTCCCTGCACTGCCCCGCAGCCTTCTGCCTTCCATTACCACACTTGTGTCAGCATCACTGATCTCACAACTGCCAGGGCAGGGAATGTTTATAGCTGGAAGGAGAGGGACAAATGCAGGGTGGCAGGTCTGTCTGCAGTTAGGTGGCTGGAGGACCGGCCCCGAATGTCTATCCCTGTCCCCCTGTTTCCTCTGTCTCTCCAAATCCAACCTGTTCCTTGAGCCTCAGTTCAGCCTCCTCCCCAGGAGAGCCCTCCTGGGTCCACAAGGTGCTCTCTTCCACTGAGCTCCCATGGTATTTCCACCTTGAGTCCTTTGTAGGATTTTGATCCCGGCCCCTCCTGGAGGAGTCATTCCTTGGCTCCTGGAGGAAGGGCTGGTTTCCTCAACAAAGCTGCAAGCTCCTTGAGGACTAGATATGAGTGTTCACCGAGCACCTCCCTCTCAATTCCCTCTCAATTCCTCCTCCACCTGCTTCCTACAGCCTGAGCTCTCTAAAGCACAGCTCTCTTCATGGCACTCCTATGCCCTGCTCAAACATCCTCAGTGGCACCCTAGTGCCCCAGAATAAAACCTAGATCCTAGAGATCAGCACTTAAACATACCTCATCACCCAGACATTGGACCACACACCACTTTCCAAATAACACCCCATGCCTTTCCTCCTCTGTGCTTTCACTCTAGCTGTTCCCTCCCAGAATTTCCCTGACCCTCATGCCCAGCTGTGGAAATCCTACCCTGCCTACAAGACACATCTTAAGGGCCACCTCCCCGATGATCCCTCTGTAGTAGACAGCTAGTCCTTCAATATCAATTCTCTTCTTCCTTAGAATTAGTTTTAACTGGGCGTATGGCCACCTGCACAGCGAGGTATGACCACGTGACTACATTCTGACCAGTGGTAAGTGGAAATGCGTGCCTTTATTTGCCCATTCATCCTTCCTGTTGAATAATAATGTGGATTATGGATGAGAATTGTGGGTAAGATAGCTGGCGCTCAAGCAGCTACCTTTCCTCAGAGGTGGAAGCCATGTGCTGAACAACAAGATAGAAGGAGCCTGGGTCCCTGACATCTATGTAAGCTACCCTACCACTCCCTAGTGGCCTACTTCTGGATCTTTGCTTTTCTTTCTGTCTTTTTTGTTTTTTTTTTGTAAATGTGTGAGGGACACAAAGCTTGTCATCTTCAAGTCAGTTATTTTGGGTTTTTATGTTACTTATAGCTGAACTTAATCCTAACAGATTCACCCCTCTTCTCTGTTCTGGGAGGCTATGTCCCTGTTTGAGCTTCTAGGACCCTCTATTAGTTTCTTCCCTGGTCTTCTGTTACCGTGGCTTGTGAGCCGTTTCAGGCCAGGCCTGGGTTCCACCCATGTCTGTACACCCACAATGCCTGGAAAAACAACAGGTGCTCAAGGCACGGTGGCTGAATATGTGGAAATAAACTGCTGCCCCTTCTCCCCCGACCCCAGCCCCCAAGTTCTGCTGGGAAAGGCTGAGCTCAGAATTTTCCCTTCTGGACTGCAGGCTTTATGAGGGCAGGGAACTTGGCTCTCTTGTTCTTTGCTGTGTCTGAGTGCCCAGCACAGTGCATGGCATACAACAAACACTCAGGAACTATTCCCCAAATGGCCAAAACCGGCCCCAGGAGCAGTGACATTCCAGTGGGTTCTGCTGGAATCAGTGACCCCTGTCCCTTCGAGCTCCTCTCAGTTTGACATGCTCCCCTCAAAGCCCAATTCCAGCTGGCCCTACACCCTCCAACATGGCCTCCTTGCATCCCTGTTATGGGGGAGGAAGTCCTTGAATCCCTGAGGCCCTCATTTGGCTGAGCCACACTGAGCATCAGGGGAAGGTGTTGATTCTTAAAGAAAAGCAACTTCCCCAGGCCCATATCTCTTGAAATTTGGGCTGGCACCCCTCCCTTAGGCCACACTGCCTCATATTGTTGGCCCTTCCCCAACTGGATGGTGGGCACCTGGATCTGTGGCCACTCTGTGCCTCTCCTGGACATGATTAGCAATTGAGACAAACAATACCAGGCTCTCTAGCCCAAAGCCTTGGGTTTGGATACTAGTTTTATTTATGTATTCAACAAACACTTCTATGGCACTTTTATGTACCACTGTTCTGAATGCTTCACAAATATTAGTTCAAGTAACCTTGTAATACTCTCATTATTACATATTTTCATTATTACTAACTCTACAGATGAGGAAACTGAGGGACTGAGGGGTTAAGTAACTTGCCCAAGGTCACACAGCCAGGAAGCTCTGCCACTCACTGGCTAAGTACCTCCGAGCAAACCACATCACCCCTCTCAGTCTCTGTTTCCTCATCTTTGAAATGGGACTGATAACCCTCACCCACTGGCCTTGGGCTATAGTTAATGGTTATGGGCACGATGGCTGATTTGGGCCCTGTGCTCTTCCCTAGCAAAAACCTTAGCTCCTTCCAGGGCAGGTCCACTGCCAGGAGGATGACATGCATCTCGCCTGTTTGCAGCTCAGCCTCCAGCTTTGGCTTCCTGAAAAGCAGTTCACCCAGCATGCTCTTCCCTGCCTCTGGGAGGTACATGATGTGGGGAACCCATCCCCTAGTCCTGGCCCTCTGTGGGGAGCTGGGTGCCAGAGATGCTCCACTGACACCCATCCTAAAACCAACTCTGAGCTTCTCTAACAAGACAGTCTTATCTTTGAAGTCTTTCTCACATATGCAAGGCTGACAAATTCACCCACAGAGCTGCTAATGTGATCAGTCTAATACATTAATTGGTTAACTTCTTAGCTGAATCAAGAGTGAGGCAAAGAGAGGGGTGGTGGAGAGAAGGGGGACTGGTGAAAAGAAAACATCTGGTTGTATTTAATCTATGTTTAATGATTCTGCATAAGCAGTGTCTGTAACTCGCTGGAAAGCCAGTCATTAGAAAGCGTCAGTTCAATTTTTTACAAGGTTTGAGACTTAACCAGGGCAGTTGCCATTAATAGCAAACTCTGTTAGATCTATGTGTGGAAAATACTCATTAGGCCAGCGGGCGATAAATCAGACATTGCAGGATGTGAGAGTTACTCCTCGGGCTGCTTAGGTCCTAATTTAGACCTGGCCTATCTGTATTGACAGCTGGGTCTCCGATGTTTAATAAGTAAACCTCGACCCGTCAGGTTATGATTAAACTGTCCTAGGAGGACTGCAAGCAAATGAAACTGTCACGTATGTTTCCCTGGGGTCCAAACTTCTCATGACCTCAAAGCATCAAGGAGTTAACTTTCCACTCATACATATTAATGGCCCACACACTTAGAAAAATAGCCGAGCTCAGTGGTCATTATTCATCAAAAGAATCCAGTCCCCTGGGAGGCAGTGAGCTCTCAAAGGAAGTATTTAAGCAGAGGCCAGATGAGACGCTCACAGATGACCTTGAAGTTGCTTTTAGCTGTAAGTTTACCTTATACTAAGATCCTTTTGCTCCTTACAGGTTAAAGTACAAATTCTGCAACCTTGTCTTCAAAACTTTCCAGGAGTCCCCAGACTACCTTCTCAGTCCCCTTTGCCATCCACAGCCCCTGCATCCTCCTGCCATTCCCTATGGCTGGATAGTCGCATATGCACGCCTCTGTGCTTTGCCCAGATTGGTTCCTCTACCCACAATGCCTTTCTTCCATCTCTGCCTTTTAGGCTAAGGCCCAGCTGAAGTCCTACACGGCACGGAGCCATGCCCCAAATCCACCCTGCCTTGGCCTAACTAAGCCAGGGACAGCAATAAGCAATGGTGTGTGACGGAGCCAGCTTCTACCTTCACACTGGCTATTAAATATTCGGGAATTTCACGACCGGGGTTAAACCATTGGTACCTTAGAATCAGCCATGGTGGGAATATCTACAGCATGGAAATTTGCAAATGACACAGATTAGGGCTTTCCCCCGCAGAGAGCCAGTTTAGCAGCACACCAATTCAATAAGCTTTATCTCCCTTTTCAACTCCCGTTGAGTGGAAGAGTTGGCTGGAGTTGGTGCTGTGGATTCTGCAGCTGAGACAGGAAAGCGTGTGGTGCGGGATTAGTGTTGGCCTGAGTGTGAGGGGAGAAGGGCTGGGAAGTTGCCATCTCCAGCGAAGCCAGAACTGTCTCCTCTGAGCTCCCACAGTGTTCTCTGCCTTTCCCACTTGGCACTCAGCACAAGCCATTTGGGGTCACTTCATATGTGGACCTCATCTACGCTTGTTTCATTTTTTTATCCGTTTAGACTGGGCTTTGGAGTCAGAATTTGTTTCTCAGCTCTGCAGCTTCAAGCTGTGAGACCATGGAGAAGTCATTTAACCTCTCTGAGCCTGTTCCTTCCACTGCATAATGGCTTTGTCTCACACCCCGTGGTGTGTCCAATTCTTATTAAGGTAGGTCTAAGCCCTGAAGAGCCAAGGAGCTGCCTCCACAGAGTATGATGAGAATCCTGAACCTTCCTTCCCTGCTACTTCCCTCCTGGGACTCCTCGTCTCGCTGGTCCACACACCTTCCCCCTGGAGACAGTACCTTGGTTGCAGAGGGTTCCGGAGAATCCGGGGAGGCACTCACAGATGCCGCTGGCGTGATGGCAGGGCCCGCTGCTGTGCACACAGAGGGGGCACGGCTGGGCGCAGCTGTGGCCATAGAACCCAGGGGCGCAGACTGGAGGTGAAGGGGAGAGGGTGGTCAGCAGCCCAAGGGGCCCCAGCCAGCCTGGCTACTTGTCCAGTCCCACACAGCGATGAAGAGAGGCTTCTCAGAAGCATGGGGAGAGTCGCGTCTGCCCCACACCTGGGAGGGCCCGTCCCTTTCTAGAGAGAGAAGTTGTGGTCTGGTCTGGTCCTATTTCTACTGGGGAGCCAGGCTAGGCCCTGAACTTGGGGACAGAAAAGTCAGGGCCAGGAGAAAGGGGATTAGAGGGAGGGATTTGATGGGGACTGACTGTGTAAGCCCAGCCTCTCTCAGGCCAGTCCTAGTTCCAGCTGGGAAGGCTGGGGAGGATGAGCTGTCCGAGGTCTGAGGGGTAGGGTCTCAGCCTTACTTCTCTGGCATAAGGGTCCTCGGAAGCCCGGGGCACACTCGCAGCTCCCGTCCTCTGGGGAGCAGGAACCGCCGTTCTCGCAGCTGCAGGACACGGAGCAGTTGGGGCCCCAGCGACCGGGTGGACACGTGCTGTCACAGTGGATGCCTGTGGGCCAGAGGTGGACTCAGGTCAGTGGTAAGGGGCGAGGGTGAAAGGAAGAATCGGGGGGGGGTGGGTACTATGCAGTAAGAAGAGGTGGAGGCAAACACAGTACATCTGGGAATATGGAGGAGAAAAACAGAGAAGCTTGGCTGGTCAGGGAGGGCTTCCAGGAAGAGGTGATGCCTGAACTGAGTCCTAAAGACCAAGGAGGAATTGACCAGAAAAAGGAAACCCTATGTGCAAAGAGCAGGAGGCAGGAGAGAGAATCACGCCTTGAAAGATAAAACAGCATAGTGTGGTTGAACCATAAAGTACAAGATGGGATACGGCAAGAGATGAGATTGTGGGCATCGGAAGGGATCAGATCATGAAGGGCTTCCTTTGTCTTTGACATCTCAGCTGGAATCCAAGGTTAGTGCAGCAAGTGAGTGCCATTATAGGGGCTACATGAGCTGGGAGTGAGTTACCTGCCCACCCACGTTAGCCCAGGAGCCACGGATCCTTGCTGGGCCCTAGCCAACCAGCCCCTGGGCAGTGGCTTAGAGAGTGGGTGGGGTCTTTTCAGATTCTTTTGACCAGAGTCCTCAGTGCAATATGTATTTTATATCAAATGTGCACACACATGTATAATAGAAACCAACATTTTGCAAATGACATTTACTGTCACTGTGATGCAATCTGATGTTTTCTCTGCACTATGATGCATCCTATGTCCTTAAGAAAAAAAAAAAGCTAGTTGTGACCCCCAAAATTGATTTAATGACCTTCAGTTTGACATACAGTGGCCTATGCGGGAAGGGATGGAATCTGTCAAAAAGAGAAGCAAGGCCTACATGGTCTTTTTGAGCTGAGAGAAAGGAAATTATGTGTTGGGGTGATTACAGCCTGAAGGCTGAGAAGAATTTTAAAAGGCCTGAGGCTGGATGCTCAGCTCTGGCGTGGGGTTTCCTCCCAGGCAGAAAGGCTTCTAGTCCGCCACGTGTAAGGTGAATGGACCGTGGGGACCCAGGAGACCAATTTGGTTTTGGAAGGCGAATATCAGAGGCTCAGAGAGGAGCAGAATTAGTTTAAAAAGCACGTCTGCCTTGTTATAAGGAAAAGGGATCGTGAGGAAGAGGAAGAGGGAGGAAGACATTCAGGCTCAGTGAACAGAGCCGGCCCTAGCAGCAGCAGGAGAGCGGTGGGACCAGTTTCGAGGCAGGCTGGAATTATCCAAGCTTACCTGGGCGGGTGGGGAAAGGCGAGGGGGCGGGACAGGGAGAGGGTGGAGAAGGGGGGATGCAACAGGCTTTACTCTCCTCCAGCACCTCAGTCTAGCCCCTGCTCCCCCCCCCCCCCCGCGCCCCCCCCCCGTACGGGGGGAGCCACAACTACTGAGCCCATGTGCCACAACTGCTGAAGCCTGCACGCTTAGAGCCCGTGCTGGCCTCCCTCCCTGTGACAGCTCAATTCTGCAGCAGGGTGGAGGCTTCAGATGCCACTCGGCGGGAGATAGGCCTCTGAACGGAGGGAATGGGGTGCGCCGAGCTTCTTCCTGCGAATACAGTCTTTGCCCAGTGAGAATCTGGTGGTCACATTTCCTCCTCAATGGAGGTCTCTCCCAGTGGAGTCTCAGGTACACAAGAGGTGAAGCCCGCACAAGCAACACGGATGGACCGAAGGGGAGCCTGGGGCGAGGGAAACCACAAAGCTGTTTAAAACCAAAAGCCATGATCTGCCCCAAGGAATTCTTTGGCCCGTGGTTGTTGAAAACAACCTGTTCAGACTGCAGGCCGAGGGACCCTGCTGCTCTTGGGAGGCGCCCTGGACCATGGAGGAGCTCCACTGTCTGACGGGGGGCCTCCAATCCCTCCTGTGCAGCAAGCACACTTGGTTAGGCTGCCCAAGGCTCTTTCCCATAGTCGTAGGCTTTTCCCTAAAACTGTATGCAGATATTACTGTGATTAATAAAACACAATGCATGCAAAAGCACCCCTGAATTCATGGCAGCTTGTTGCTGTCATGTTTTCCCCCAAATCAGTGGATGTTAAAGGTACAGCTACTCTCACGTGTGGGATCCTCCAAATGTTTTCATGTCAAAAAGGTGTCCTCGCGCTTCCCTGGTGGCGCAGTGGTTGAGAGTCCGCCTGCCGATGCACGGGACACGGGTTCGTGCCCCGGTCTGGGAAGATCCTACATGCCACGGAGCGGCTGGGCCCGTGAGCCGTGGCCGCTGAGCCTATGCGTCCGGAGCCTGTGCTCCGCCAACGGGAGAGGCCACAACAGTGAGAGGGCCGGGTACCGCAAAACAAAACAAAACAAAACAGGTGTCCTCTTTTTTGGAGATTAAGAACCACAGGTGTAAGGTGATTATGCTCAGATTGCAGATGGCTGCAAGGGCCTACTGGGTTCTAGGATCTGCCAATTATTCTAGTCTAGGCCTGGTTCTGTGGGTGTGGGGCTCCTGTTTGAGGCTGTTATATGTCCCAAGAGCTCCCTGGAACTTAAGACATTGGCATCTAAGTGGAGAGAAGGGTCCAGAGTTTCCCCTTGCGTGGAAAAGCTAGTTGCACCGGTGCAGTCAAAGGGCTTGACCTTGGCCTAAAGGGAGGCTCTCCAACCACAGCTTCTGAAGAGGAGTGGTATCATCAGTTAGTTGCCTTCTCTAGGCCCTGTTCTCCCTATTGTTGAATGGGGATAATAATCCCCCTTAGGGGTCCTTCCCATTCTTACCCTTAGGGAATCTCTTTGCTTTATCTTTCAGGGCCTCCTACACATCCACACTGGTGGGTAAAGCTAGGCTAAGAATCTATATATTGTGACCTCTAGTTCATGTCACAAGGCTAGCAGCAATTCAGCAGCCCACATCCTTCAGGGACTGCTTTGGGTTTTGGGGTCTTCCTTCTCCAGGAAGTCTTCCTGAATGTCTGCCTAGGGATTCAAGCATCTATTTGATAGCGGCATACAACTTTGCCCCTATCATTTGAATATTTCATATATATGTGTCCTGTGAAGACAGGGACTATGGCTTCTTGACACTTCTGACTCTCTTTATCCAGGTGCTCCTAATGGGCAGGGAAATGATCTTGGTCATTTTTGTATCTCTAGTACCCAGGACAGTGTCTGGCACACAGTAGGTGCCCAGGGGCTACTGCTGTTGAATTTTGCCATTTACTGCTGGGCCTAGCACAGTGCCGGGCACGTGGTAGCTGCCTAATAAAGACTCGGTGATGGCTCGAGTCAATAAATGCTAGCTGAATGAATAAATGGTTCCCCTTTACAATGCAATCCAGTGTCTCCCATCCTGTTGGCACTAATGTCCTGAGACCTTGGGCAGCTCCCTTTCCTCATCTGTAGCATAGGAGGTTGGAGCGGAACATCGTCAAGGTCTCCTTCACTTCAAGGGGAAAGCCCATACATGGTTATAGGCCAGCTCCTTTCAACTTATTTCAATAAACACTGAGTAAGCACCTACTATGTGCAGGGCACGGTGAATTAGATATCATGCCAGTCAAGAAGTGTGTGGCTAAGGGGGGCAAGGGGAGAAGACATGTACATGCTTAAAGCAAAGAGAAACAAGTGTTGAGCCTAGGCACAAGCAACATGCCAGGGTCTCAGTAGTCAGCAGTGGGTGGGGAGGGCTTGCCGAGCAGGGGGCTGGGGCCTTTACCCTGCGCCCTCACTGTCTTTCCTTGGTTTCCTTCTGCTTGACAAATCTCAGGACATCAACTGCTCCTTTGAAATGACTTCAGGACCATGTTTGGGGAAAGTAGTTTTAGAACAGCAGAGACCTTGCTGAAAGGTTGTCCATCAAAGACATAATTTTTAAGCACCAGATGTCATTGAAATCTTATCGGTTCACTCGAAATTAAGGCAATGAAAAATTAAAATGGATTTCCATTTGGCTCCAGCTAAGAGTCTAGGGTGCCAGTAACCAGTGTAGAGCCTAGCTCTGTACTAAGCGGCAGGGCAAGGGAGTCAGGTTGGAGATGCTACAGAGGAAGCAATGTTCCCAGCCCTCAGCTGCTCAGAAACTTTCTGGTTGTGGAGAACAGAGTTTGCTCAGCAGCCTGGTGTGAATTATTCATGTGAGGACCTGCACTGCCAGCAATGCCTGTATTTCTTTCTCCTTGCTGTCCACCACTTTGGGAATGGCCAGTGGGTTCATTCTTGTAACATTGACACTGTATTTGTGGCTTATACTTACTGAGCACCTATTATGTGCCAGGCACTGTTAGCGCTTACAGGTATTAACTCATCTAAACTTCAAAATGATCTTGTAGTTATAAGGATTATAATTACCTGCATTTTATGGATGGAGGATTCAGGCCCTGAGAGGGTAAAGGACTCGCGCAAGGAGGTCTGGTGCCAGCTCTGTGTTCTTAACCATTTCTCAGTGTGTGGCAGGCAGTGGATACAGTGGTGAACAAGGCAGATGTGGTCCCTGCCTCCACGGAACTGATGGTCAAGGTGGGGGGCAGATAATAAACAAATCGTCACTCAAATCAGAGTTCAGTGACAATTGAAGTAAGTACAGCAAAATGCTGTGAGAATTAAAGGGGCTTTTTCATAGTCTTGGCCAGGTTGGGGAGGTGGTAGTATCAGGGGGAGAGAGAGCCTTTCCAGAGGAAGTCATCTTTATGTCGAAATATGATGGATGAGAAGGTGTTATTAGGTGAAGAGAAGGGGAAAGAGTGATCTAGACAGAGGGTATGCACATTTGAGGCCTGGAGTCAGGGAGGGTGGTTGGCCCAGGTGGTGGAGTGAAGTGAGTGATGGGAGGGCGCAAAAGAGAGGTGGAGGAGTTGGGCAGGGCCTTACAGGGCCATGTGGACCCCAGGTCACTGTAAGGATTTTGGATCAGTGTCTTGGGAAGCCACGGAGGCACCCTGAGCAGGGACTGATGTGAATGGATCTGGCCACCATGTGCAGAGTGGATGCAGCTGTGCAAGAGGGGAGGCCCACAGAAAAACGGGAGGCCGAGGTAGTGCCTGCTGAGAGATGGTGCTCAGTGGGCGAGGGTGGTGGCAGTGGCTGGTGAGAAATGGATGGATTTGCCATCTATTTAGGAGGTGAGCTGCCAGGACACATGTAGGGGCCAGGAGTCTGAGCCTGGACTAAGGAGAAAGTTCCCTGTCCGCCTCTCCACCATATCCTCTGCAAACACAGGTTGAGCACCCACACCTCTGTCTGAATTTTTTAAAACTGGTCTGTCCCTAGCCCTTAGAACAGAGCCTGCACATACTAGGTGTTCAATTAATATTTGTTTACTCAAAGGGAATGAAATGGAGAACTGAAGCCCGGAGGATATAAAGAAAAGATGCATATGTGGGAAGCAAGAAGAAGAAAAGGTGAAGGAAAAAAAGAAGGAACAGTCAAGAGAAGCAGGAGAACACCAAGAGCTCAGTTTCACAGGACCAGGATGGTGGCATGGCAGAGGGGGTTACCTGTCCATCCGGCCAGGCAGCAGCAGTGTCCTGTGACGGGATCGCAGCCGTCGGCGTGGCTGCAGTCACAACGCTCACTGCAGTTCAGCCCAAATGTGCCATCCTGTGGAGAGAAGGGGGAGAGAGAAATGACGAGACTTAGACCCTCAGAGGTTCTCACACTTCTTTTAGATGTTGATGACAAAACTGAGCCACTGCCCAACAAGGATGAAGAGAAACTGGGGCTGGAGCACTGTGGAGGCACTTTTTATAACTGGGGATCCAGTGAAGCTACTCCAAATAATTCTTTGGCTGCATTACGAAGAGTATGCAGTTTGGAAGGAGGGAGGTGTTGGTCCTGCCCTACCTCTCAGTGGTCAAGCTCAGAGAGCTGTAATGATCATTAGTTAAAATTGTAAATGAAAATGCACCTTGCAAATTTTTAAACGTTGATCACATGTGAGGAATGACTATGATTTTTTCTTTGTGGGTAAGAAGGTGGCGGTCAACATTTGTTGTGTGCTCATCAGGTATCAAGAGTCTCATATAATTCATTTCTCTTAATCTTCACGACAACTCTATGAGATGGTTCCATTATATTCAAAATTTAAAGATGAGGTGAAGTAACATGCTCCAGGTAACACGGCTAGGATGAGGCAAAGGCAGGATTGGAACCCAGGATTGTAGGACTCATTCAACAATATCCTATCAGTTGGTTTAACTTAACTTGTATCTTAGACTAAGATCCAGGGATTAAGTCTCGGTGGGTTATTACTGGATAATGCTTGGTTTAGTCCTCCCAACCTTGATCATAAAATTATAGACTGTTGGAACCAGAAAGAAGCTTAGACATTATTATCAAGGAATGGCAACTCTGATGGATTAGTAAGAGCTGTCCTGTAGCACTGTGTCAAGAAGGATTCTGAAGCTGCATCTGGGCTCAGGTAAATGTGCCAGAGTCAATAATGTTTCCCAAGAGCACCCAGGGGAAAGTGAGGCCACATCACCATATCTGCTAAGTATCTGTCGTTTTATAGATGAGAGGGCTGAGGCCGGAAGTAGGACAGAGAGGTTAGAGCTAGGGCTGGGACCTGAATCCAAGTGTCCTACCACCTGTTCCAGTGCTCTGTGCACCTCTGTGGACAAAAAAACTACGGGGAAAGGGCATAGGGGGCTGATGGGCCCACCCCGTCCTTCCCCGCCCCACACTCACCGGGCAGGGCAGTTCGCAGTTTTCCCCCAGCCAGCCAGGGGTGCAGAAGCAGGAACCATCGGTGGGGCTGCAGGCTGCTCCATTGGCACAGGTGCAGCTCTCGTTGCAGTTCAGGCCCCACGTCCCACTGGGACACGGCAGGGTGCAGTCGAGGCCCTGCCACCCTGAGGGGAGGGAACGAGGCTGTCACCTCTCCATCTAGGCCCAGCATAGCTTTCTGCCCACCACCCCCCCACCAGCTCTGTACAAGGCATCACACCCAAACCACCCCTTCTCTGATTGCTAGGTCAGAACACATTCCACATTCGGAGTCCACCGAGAAACACAGCAAGGCTGTTGAGAGAGCGGGGGCTAGAACCTGGGTCTCCTGCCTCCCGGTTCTCACTGTTTTTGCCATAGGTGGGTGATCCCACCTGGGACAGGGAACCAGTGGAGGTGGAGAGGGCTATCTGTGCCGAGGGTATACTCAGGAAACTTATCTCAGGGCCCTGTGTTTTGGTGATAGGCTGATTTCCCCATTCTGAGCCTGGTTACTGGCTTGTCTGCCCTCAGATCCATTTCTCCCCTTCCCCTTCTCTGTTCTGTATCCCAGGGGGCTGACGCCTGCAGCTGCTCCCAGATGGGCTTGCCAGTGGGAGACCTGGCCAGTGATGGGAGGGTGGGAGCAGGAGAGATGCCAGGTATCTCCTCTTCCTTCTCTGCTATGAGCAGGGCCTCTGGTGGTGGCTGTGTCTCAGTGCTCCAGCACCATCTTGCAGCCCCTCTGCCCACATCCCAGCTCCCACCAGATGGCCCTCACTCCCAGGCTCTGGGAACTCCACTTCGTCCCTTTGTCCCTTTCACCCTAAAAGTGGTAGCAACTGTGGGAGAAGCTACTACTTTCTGGGTTGCTCACGTTCCCTTGTAAGTCCTTTCAGCTCTTCTAACACTGTGGTAACAAATCCCCTTTATTACATTCCT